TGCAATTACTAAATACTTCCATTGCCCTGCTTTTATGTGTACTGCGTCCATGCTAACCCTCTCGAATAAAGTCGTCTTATAGGTTGCTTTACCCTTTTCTTTTTGTAAATCTTTACTTCTCTTCTGACAACTTTCGCATGATCTTACCCAATTTCTGATCATCTTCTTCATTCCTTCCCACCAATACCGCAGCTTAATTCGAATATATGTTTCTCCCATTCCACGGTGACCAAGGTCTTCATGTAGCGCCTTCATGATCCTCTTCTGCATTCCTGGTTCTGAGACAATTACCTGACTCTGGGGTTCGTTTCTCCTCTTTAACTGTCCGTCCTCAATAAAATAATTGACTGATCTACGCTTTATTTTTGCAAACTCCTTATCTGAGCACTCCGGTGGTCGTATAAGTGTCCCTAAGTAATCCTTCATCCTTTTCCAAAATCCCACTTGTCGACTTCCCGCGTTTGCAACCTCTGTAATTACTATACCTACCTCCTTGACTCCAAATCCCGGATGTGGTTTAATCCAACTTTCCTCGCCGTCCATCTCCCTAGGAACCTCGTCTTTGTCTGGCGTTCTTCTTGATAACCCATCTGGCATTGTAAAGGTTTTCCCTGCCTTATGTACCAATTCAAATGAGAAAAGCTGAATGAACGCTACCCATCTAGTCATAGGTGCACTTGGAAGACTGGGTGTATTAATCATCTGAATCAAGGCTTTTGCATCTACCTGTAACTCGAAATGTTGCCCCCACAATACTGTTTGCAATTTCTTCAATATTTTATGTACTCCGCAAAGCTCTAACTTAGATTGTGAATATTCTGATTCCTTGTCGGTGAAGCAAACTGATTCGTATAATACTGGTCTATCCACGCCATTTTTGTCTTCCTGCATCAGAACCGCTCCTGCCGCAATGAAACTAGAGTCCACTGCAAGCTTGATTTTTCCCGCGTTCTCACTGAAATCCAAACCTTTTAATACAATATCTTCTCCCACAATTTTCTTGAGTTTACAAAAAGCCTCCTCACATTTGGCCGTCCATTTGAATTCTGTATCAATCCTAGTAAGCCGCCGTAATGGGGATGCCACTAACGAAAAATCCTTGATGAACATTCTTACATACACGCAAAGCCCCAAAAATTGCCGTACCTCCTTCTTTGTAGTGAGAGGTGGCCAAGATTGGATTTTGTTAAGCTTCTTTGGTGATACGGTTCGGCCTTGATATGAAACTACATGTCCAACTATGTCTAATGCCGGCACGCAGCACGCAAACTTCTCTCCTGAGATAGTCAGCCCTGCCTCTTCGATTCGAAATAGAATCCTTTCCAATGTAATAGCGTACTCCCAGATGAATCGACGTATATTTTGATTCTCCTTCAATCGAGCCCCTCCGTCATCCGATCGTGGTCCCTTAATTCCTCCGTCGTCAATGAATATTCCTGCGTGTTCTGGTAACTCCTCTTGTAGAATCCATGTCATCTGTGCCTGATATACTGCTACCGAATTTGTTGCTCCTTGAGGTAACCGCGTGAGCTGAAGCCTTCCTAAAGGTGTCTCAAAAGTAGTGAGAGGCCTTGAAGCTGGATCCAGTTCCCTTTCGTCATATCCGCCCATAATGTCGCCTAACCCGTAACACGCACGTCCTGCAAATGAATCCACAAACTCCTCTATCTTTGGCGGTAGCCCGGCGTCCTTGATGGTTACCTTGTTGAGCTGCTGCAGATCATGCACTATTCGTAATTTACCATTTGACTTAGCCACACAGAAGACCGGACTGGAATAACTAGAAGTGGATTGTTCATATAATCCTGTCCTAATCCTTTTTCGTACGAGTTCAATGAAGTCACTCTGAATTGCTTTTGGTATTGGTATTGGTCTCTGCTGCCACGGTTCGTGTTCAATTACTGGTATCTTGTAAGGTTGGCCATACGAGTGATTTAATATACCCCTCTCGTCCTCCGAGAACGCAATCGATTTCTCTCTTAACACAATCACATGTTTTAATAACTTTAATTCTTCTTCCGTCAACCATCCAGGAGGTCCAAAATTCACTGCCTTCAATCGTTCTTCTGTCACTCTGCTTGTTTCTTGAAACGTTGGTGGAAATGGGGTGAGCGGGGTTTTGTATGGGTCCCGCGACAATGGTGGTCTTTCAAGTGGTGGATTTAGATCTTGAGGCATGGGTTGGTTAACTGGTCGTATTTTCCGTGCTACTCCCTTGTACTTTGCCGCACCAATGTATTTCGCCATGTTGCTTTACCTATACTCGCTTAGAAGGAAATTGGATTAGTAGTTCACGGAATGTTGATAGAGTTAAGTTACCTACGTCCCTTGTTGGTTAGTCTGATGATGAAAATTGGCAAAAGTAATGTTCACTTGAGCGCATAATCTTTTCTCGTTTCTGGTGTACTTATTCATGAAATTTTAGTGTGACCCACCCTAACCCTCGGCAAACAAAGTTAATTGCTGCCTACACATCACAAAAGTTTTTTTTTTTTTTTTTTTTTTTTTTTTTTTTTGTCCCTGAGTGCACAGTCCGCAGTCCGCAGTCCGCAGTCGCGCAGTCGCGCAGCGTGCGCTGGGTGCTCTCCTTGCTCTTATACTTTCTCCTCATCTGCGGTATCCTCTCATCTAGCCTAGCCCAAAAACTGGGTTGGTAACCCTTCTCGTAACCGCGATCCGGTATCCGCTCGTTGTTTATCCGCCCGTCCGCTAACGATCTCCGGGATTGGCGTTTACTCAACCTTAAGACCTGTATAGCTTGCCTGCAAGAAGAACCGCCATCGCTGGCAATATCCCCCCATCTCACCACCTCAGATCCAGCCAGTTCACTCGGCCATCATGTCGTCTCTTCGGCTTCGCGGTCGAATAAAGGTGAGTCACTTATTCTTCTTCTCAATCGGTGGCTTGGATCCTATAGCTGACTTGCTCTCAACAGCAGGCCAACCTCCATCCCTCCAGCCGTGTGCTCCTTGAATCCGCCGGTCATGGGTTCCTCAGCTTCAGGGTGAGACCCATCGCCTCTATTCCTCCTCATTCTCCCTGACTTCTAGCTCTCTCCTACAACGTAGTCCACTTTTGTTTACTGATCCTAGTGCTTAACAAACAATACCGATCTCCGTGTACCCTTTTAGTTTAACATGTCTGTTTACGATTCTGATTATACGGCTATGGCCGTCGATACTCCTATTCGCGACCCTGATACTTCTCCCTCTACTCTTCATACCTCGTCCGATACTCCTAATGCTTTAAATTGAGCCTTAGTAAGCGGTGCTGAGCCAACTCTACTCTCCTCACCCCTGCCTTTCTCGATCGCCCTGCGTGTGTATTGACTTAGACTGTTTTTATCCTCTGTTATTCCTGGGTTCTAGCACGAGGCTAACGTTCCTAGCGAGTCTCAGGTTGAGGAAAGCGACATCGCCGCTTCTTTTCCCATCGATCCTGCTGTTTCCTCCGTTACCAACGTCGTCGATCCTAACCGACCCACCGTAAGCTGGCCCTTACTACTCTGATCACCTCTGATCATTTCTTGTTGCCAATCGACGGTGTACTGATGTCGACGTCTCTTTTTCTTCTCCTTAGCATGCATACCCTTCGCACCAAGCAGCCCAGGTAGAAGAGGACGAGGTCCCAAGCTACCCGCCACCTCCATACGTGCACGCGGTGCGTTTTGCGTCAGCTGGTCCTTATTCTACCCCGGCTACGGCCGGTCCGCCTCGTTCCGTCTTAAATCATGCTCCTCGCCGAGTGTATTCTACACCTCGTCAGGCCGGTTCTCCCTCGCCAGGTAGCCCGACTCGTCCATCTGTTCGTCGCCGTCTCTTCCCGACTTCTCCTGCGCCTACCAGAGCCGCGTCTCCTGGTGATCCGCCCGTGCCTCCTACCGATCCTCCTGCGACTCCTCATCCTGCCCCTGCAGGTGATCCCTTCGACATGGACGCGCGATTCAGCGCCCAATTTCTGGCAATGAGCTTCTACAACACCCTCCTGTCTGTGCACGATGTCCTGGGTGACTTAGCCACCGACCATCCCCACTTCCTTCGCCACGAGATCATGCGTGCTGCTACGATTATCGCTGAGGATTGGTTCAACTATCATTGCATCCACTTGTAAGTATTCTATTTTTTTTTTTTTTTTTTTATTGTTCTTCTAGCATGCTATTGACTGTTCCCTAGCCCTTGCTTCCCTATCTTCCCGTAGGCCTGCCCAGTTTGCCGAGCCTCATTCCATGGGTCACCTGGTGGCCAATAGCGTCCGGTTCACTGTCCGTTGTCTGAATATCTTGATCCTCGAATGTCCTGATTTGTACCCCTCCATTCCTCCTCTCTCCCCAACTAGCTGATATCCTTTTGTGAACAAAAATACAATAACACTGCTTAACTCCCAGAAACACCCAAAAAGAAAAAAAAAGAAAACATAACCTTATCTTTTCCCTAAGCTGAAACATAAAAGAAACCCCCTAAAAAAAATCTTGTAATACATTCTTAAAAAAAAAGAAATGCTGTTTTGTTTCCTTTATATTTTTACCCTGTTTTTCTTACTTGTTTTTTTTTTCTTCCTGCTATCTGAACAAGTGGTTATCACAGCTTGATGATAGCTGCTTTTACCCGAAATACCACACTGTTTCCCCTTCTTCTGAGAGAATCCAAAGAAAATCAACAATACTGGAAAGAGAGAAAGAAAAAAAAAAAAAAAAAATCCGTGAGAATACAATTGCAGTTCCACAAATAGCAGAATGCTAAATATTACAACTATTCCTAACACTCTACTTGCCCCCGTCAGACAATAATTAATACAGTTAAATGCATGACTAAAAAAAAACAAAACAATTCCTACTAATACAAATAATTCCTAAAGCTTGAGAAAGAGCACTAGTCCGCAATAGCGGCGTACTCCCAATCTTTCCAGAAGGTTTCAAAATCTTTTCCAAGTCGTGCCTGCTCGTTGCGTAGCACCCATTTAAATGCCTGCCAATCGAATCTTCCAAAAATTCCCACCATTTGTCGAATTAGTTCAGTTAGAAACTCCTCCTCTTCTTTCTCCCAATCTCTTCCTGAGTACCATAACTCCTGGTCAGCGATGGTCATTCTTCCTTCTTTTGTTCCCAAGTACATTGCAAGTCGTTCTTCGTCAACAAACCACCACTCCTCTGGCCAAATGTAGGAATTTTCTAAGTACCCTTTTGTTCCATTAGTAGTTAGCAACATTATAAACCCAATGCGTCCAGCTGTGTATCCCGGTAGCTCGTCCCAAATTCCTCCTGCCTTAGATTCGTAAGTTTCTGGATACATACGAAGGAACTCTTTAACCGGATATCCATGATCCACGTAATCAGCTGTGATTGTCACCAAATTATAACTTCCCTTACACCTGAAGGCTTCCCACTCCGGAAATGGTGTCCACTCGCTTTGTTCTGTCTTTGTTACTGCCGTATGGTCCTCAGTTTCCCACATGCTCGGATTACTACTCCACTCATTATTGCACTCTCCACTATCCTGGCTCGCCTTACTCCGGTCCTCGCTCCCGAGTGTGGTATTGTCCCAGTCATGAGCCTCTGTACTTCCCGATCCTTCCTCTTGTCTTGTTAATTCCTTATCTTCTTCCCCTGAGCTGTCCATGAAATCCGCGTAATTGTCGATAGTCATGCTAAAACATTTGTCAGCTATCCTTCGAGGAGGGGCCATTTCCCATCCTGGAATTTTGGGAGAGCAAATAGGGATGCATAGTCTTCCTCCATCCCATAACTCGTAACTCAGTATCTCCCCACGACTCTTCGATAATTCTAGACGTACCTTATGATCTGCTAGGAATGGTCTCCCCAGCACTGTGTAGACTTTACCTCGAGCGATAAAGAAGTTAGCTCCCTTCTGTTCCTCCTCATCAATACAAAGATGAACACCTTCGGCTATCCCCACAATGGGCGTTGAATGTCCTTCAATTCCCATGATATTCATACTGATCTCCCGTGCTGGTAACTTCAACTGGATTGCCAAAGTTTCCGGCATAATATTCATTTCGGCTCCTGTATCCACTAGCGCTCTGATTTTCTGACCAGCAATCCAAACCTCAATAAACCCCAGCGGACAGGCATAAGTAAGTGCATTATTACCTAATTTCATACCCTTTTCCCGATGTTGGTGAGGCTCCCTATCGTCAAAATTCCTATGATCACACCGCCCTGAGTTCTGACTTTGCTCCAACGGAATTGAATTATCTTCTGCTTCTGTCTGTAATTCCTGAAGAAACTTGGGCGCAATCAATAATAATTCTTCCAAAGTAAGTGTGAAACTTTGCTTCAGAAATTTCTTTCTCAGTCCCCCTGTCAGCCTCTGGGTAACTAACCTGAGTATTTAATAGTAAAAAGGTTGTTACTATGAGTTGACTGTAGTTTGTGAGCGTGGTGAGTGTTAGGTAGTGGGTGATTAATACCAGTCCTGTAAAGAGGAGGTTTCACTCTATCAGTATGGTCTTTACTGAGAGGCTTGCTATCAACAGCGCATCCGGATCAATACAAGGTATTAATAGGCATCCAGGGTACTAAGACTCACCTGGGATTGATTTGGTTATTCCCAAAAGGGAATGGGCTAACAATACTTATTAAGCTTTAACAAAATTAGTTGAAGATTAACAGGTATTGTTGATGGGAATATTCAGCAAGGCTATGAATACTGTGGATAAGTTGAGTAAGAGTACTGAAGCTTAAGAACAATAAATGTAGACAAGATTTATGTTGGTTACGGGTACTGTATCAATATAAATGTTAACTGGTTTTAACTGGTGTCTGAATATTCTGGGGATTAATCAGTGAAAGAGGCACGGATTATAAGTTCCAGAATACTGAAGGGGGGAAAGAATGAGCGCTCAGAATCAAGGGAGCTTTGGCCAGGAGAATGAGCACATCAATTGAGTGACTGATCATTATTTGTCATGATCTGTAAGTGACATCATAATTGTGTACTAGTTGATCAATGTACTAGTTGCTCTTGATGTGCACTTAACAGATCCTCTAATAATGTAGTCATAATTGTGATCAGTGCATGTATTGAATGTATTAATTCTATTGATACTTAATACTTACTATTCAATACCTGTACATATTTATTTGTAATAATATTTGACCGTGAAAATACTGTAGCAGAGGGATAACTTGTGGTACAGGTATTTCACGGACAAGGGAGTGAAAGGTAAGTGATAATTACTTATGTAGAACACAGGTATGTATTTGATAGATAAGTAATTAACAGATAAGATAAATGTAAGGTAAATAAGATAAGATAAGTTAATGATAATAATAAGATAACAAGAGGTAAAGGTAATCAACATTATGGATAAGTACTTATATACATAAGTACAGGTGTTGCAGTTACTTGGTACATGAAAGGTACTGTGACATGTACTCTGTGGCTGACACTTCCTCCCTCTAAAAAAGGCTGATCCAAGAAATAAATTAATGTTATTTTCTTTTATCAGCTCTGTATTGTCTGAGAATTTTATCAGCATCAGGTATTTTATCAACTGTAAGCCATTCATCTTCTTTGGTACCACTGTATCTTACTAAATACTGTTTAATGTCCTCATTGTTTTTTCTGATTTTTCTATGTTGTAATATCTTCTTAATTTTAATTTCTTCTTTCTCTAAAGGAGGTATTACAACTCTGATGTTATCTTTTCTTAAAGGAAATTTATCATTATCACTAGTTTTGTATGGTTTAATTAGACTGACTGGAAATGTAGGGTGTTTTCTTTCTAATTCTCCAGTGAGTATAACTTCAACAGCATTTGCACCGTGTAATTGTTTGATTGTAAAAGGTCCTACAAAAGAATCTCTTAATTTTTTAGGTCCAGTCAGGTTTGTAAAATTAAATGTAGATATCAAGACTTGGTCTCCAACTTTAAACTGGTGAGCTTTGTGAGTTTTATCCCATCTAGTTTTGTTGTAATCTACAGCTAATTTCACGCATTCTGCTGCATATTTTTCAGCTTTGGTCATCATAAAATGAAAATCAGAGGCACTTGGGTGTATATGTACTGCTTTTGACATTAAAATTTCTTTGGGAAACCAAGGAGTCCAACCTCTTTCCAATTCATAAGGTGTTTTATTTGTTGTACTGTGTTTGCTAGAATTGTAAGCATATTCAAGTGCAGGTAATAATGAACACCAATCATGAGTATAGTTGTCTTTATCCTTAAATGTCATTCCATAGGCACAATATCTTCTGATCATGTCTTCCAAAGTTTGAATCATTCTTTCAGCTAGTCCATCTGTTTGGGGGTGGTAAGCTGTGGAAAATTTTAGTTGTGTCCCACATAAATCATATAAATTTCTCCAAAATTCTGACGTAAATTTAGGGTCTCTATCTGTAATGATATATCTGGGACAACCAACATCATAAATAATAGAATTCCAAAATAATAAGGCAGTATCCATTGCTGTATCTTCTTTATGACACGGTAGAAATCTGGCTCTTTTGGAAAATCTATCAACTACTACTAAAATTGCATTAAAATTATTGGGTCCTCCGGGTGGTAAGCCAGTAACAAAATCCATGTTAATAACAGACCATCTTTCTTTGGGTTCTTCGATTTCCTGCAATAATCCATACCTTTTTCCTGTAGCTTTATTTGCTTTTTGGCATCTATCACAAGATTCACAATAATCTTTGGTATCATTTCTAAAATTAGGCCACCAAGCAATTTGTTTAACTCTCTCAATTGTTCTGTCAAAGGAAAAATGAGCTGAGGATATATTGTCGTGACATTCTTTCAAAAACAAATTAATGTGTTCTTTTAAACAGATAACTACTACACTTGTATGTTTAATTCTGTGGTAAATTAATCCATCTAATAGAGAGAATCTATTTTCTTTGAATGAGCTAAGCCATGGTTCTTCTAAGGAATTGATCAGATCATTATTTTTGAAATTACTTTGTAATATATTTTTTATTGTGGAGCAATTTTGATTTTGGTCATAACTAATTCTACTTTCATCCCAAAATTCTTCTTGCATTTCAGTCACGTGTAACCCACAAATATTAATATCATCAGTGTTATCATCAAAGGCAGGATTATTTTCATTATTTTCCTCTGGGAATAAACACATAATTTTCGCAGCAATTTCTCCGTCCCATGCTGGGTTATCTGGTATATTTTCCAAAGACCATCTACTAAGTCCATCAGCATTTTTATGTATATTACCTTCTCTATGTTTGATAGTCATACTTCCTCTCCATTCTTGAATAGCTATTTGCCATCTGAGCATGTGTCTATTTGGAGTTTTCATACTTAATAAACTTTTGAGGGCTGTACAATCAGTAATGACTTCAAATTCACATCCATCAAGGT